CCGAAAGTAATGCAATCTATCGATGATAAATACTACCAACGTTTGAGATGGAGCCACCTCTCTAGTATACAATTTGATGCCGGCAATTCAAGATATAATTATTGTTTAACGCGATTTTTCATATGTTTAGGAAAAAATATTCAACGTTTTATTGCAAATATATTCCACTTTTACAGTTTTATATATGTTGTTATTAAAATTTTTCCGGTTTCTTACCGGTAGCTTTATTATAAGCCGGAACATAACATTTTTTCCCGTAGTGACAAAACTGTAAATTCAAAAATTTTCAAAAAATTCATAAGTATTTCTTAGGGTTATATCTTTATGCTGTAAAAAAAATTATCAAAATTGTATGTCTGGTTTTCCCGCTTTATACTTGGAAAAAAGTAGTTTTTTAGAGTTTTTTCGAAAACGAAAACATGAAGTTTGTTCAAACTTTGTCAAAATACTTTTAATTGTCACATATTCCTTCTCAATTTTTTTCAAATTTTTTGAATTTGTAGTTTTTTTTTTGGGGGGTGCAGATCAACCTTAATGTTTTTATTCCAAAACCGTAATAGATATAAATTTAAATATGTGGTTACTGCAACTTATATCTTTTATATATATTATCATATGATTACCGCATCGCGTTTATTATCTTCGAGAAAGATTTATCAATGAACGGCGGAGGAAAGATTGTAAAATTGTAGCCCACAACTAATTTATTGTGAAATTTAAAACCCAAGATTACTTCCTGTAGATTTCCTTCAACCGAGTAGCCGTTATTGTAGATACAGTTTTGTTAATGAAAAAGCCTGCCTTCGCTTTCTTTCAGAACATATAGCTCTTAGAATCGATACTTTGATATAATGCTCGCCGTAGATTTACCAAGACTTGATTTCTTTTTTGTACTTTTTGTGTATAAATAATAAATATTGGTTTTCCTGTATTTACTCGCTAATGTTTTGCTGTTGCCGAAAAATTTTATGGTTATTTTTTATTGTTAAGCAAAAGATGGCGCTATTAGGTTTTCTGTTTTATTTTTCTGAGTCGTATATTTATAGATATTCAAAGTTGATGTGACATAGTCAAGTTCTAGGTTAAACAGCAACATATCCAACCAATACGGTCCTCTCCTCGTCTCCTCTAGTTGTGCACGTCCAGCTGAAGCAGGGTGTTTACGCCTCCGTTATTTTCTTCTATACTAAAATCACAATCAAGATGCACTAGAAATAAACAAACCAAGACACTTGAATGTTACGAAGAACACTCCCGAATCATGATTTACAATGTATCTTCTTCTTCTTGATGTGCCTATCAGTTACGAATGTTGGCGATCATTATGGCAATCTTTACCCTATATGCAGCAGCACGGAAAAGCTACACAGATGTTGTATTGAACCAGATTCTGAGGTTCTTTAACCAAGATGTTCTTCTTCTTCCTGGATCTCGCTTTCCAAATATTTTTCCTTGCAGGATCGATTGAAGGAGAGCATATCTGAAATTCATTTCGCATAATGTGTCCGAAGAATTGTAACTTTCGAGATTTAATGGTGGTCAGTATCTCTCGATTCTTATTCATTCCTCTGAGGACCTCCTCATTTGTGACTCGGTCAGTCCACGGGATCTTAAGTATTTTCTGATCTAGCCACATCTCAAATGCTTCCAGTTTTTTGCACATATCTTCTTTCAAGGTCCACGATTCAACACCATAAAAAGAACAGAGAAGACGTAGCATCGCAGCAATCTTACTTTTGTATCAAGAGAGAGGTTGTGACTTTTGAAGAAGGCCCCCATCCGATTGAAGGTGGATCTAGCTTTTCCGATCCGTGCTCTTATCTCCTGGTTATTGGTCCATTCTTCATTTATTATGGTGCCGAGGTAGTTCTAGTGCGTCATCATTTCTACAGGAGATTTGTTGACGTAGAGTTGACCTTCTGTTATCCTTTTCTTGCTAATTATCATAAGCTTTGTCTTCCTAACGATTATATTGAGTCCATATTGTTGACTGTAATACGTGATTTTGTTCATAAGAACTTTTAGATCTTCTAAGTTGTTCGCAAATACTATGGTGTCATCTGCATATCTGATGTTGTTTAGTCGATAACCATTTAGTAAAATACCTTTTTCAGTTTCGTGAAAAGCTTCGATAAATATTCTTTCAGAGTACAGATTGAAGATTAGAGGAGACAAAATACAGCCTTACCTCACTCCACGCATGATTTTCACATAGTCAGTGTATTCACCTTCAACTCTGCCATCAACCAGACGTCGCAGTTGACGTCTCTGCATCTCTGGAATAAGACTTGTACTGAGAACAAATCCTCTAAGTACCAACAGCATTTGTGAACCCGAACTGGTTGAGAGAAATTTGACTTCCACAGAGCTTGTAGATTCTCTTATGAATTATCTTTAGGAACAATTTTAGGAGATGACTCATGAGGCTTATAGTACGGTAATTTTCGTATTTTTTGGCTCCTGGTTTTTTTGGAATAGTAATAAACTTAGATTTCAACTATTCTGTTGGTATTTCTCCAGAGTTCTCTATGTTGTTGAATATCTTTGCGATTATTGCTATTGATTCGTTGTCCATTAATTTGAGTAGTACTGCTTGTATATTATTAGGGCCTGCCGCTTTGCCATCCTTTAACTGTGTTATTGCGGAATAAACTTCCTGCTGTAATATTCTTGCTCCATCATTTACCTCTTCTAGCTCAAAGGTGTTATCTCTTTGGTCTTCAAATAGTTTTTCTAGATATTCTTTCCACGTTCTTATTTTACTCTGTTTGTCCAAGATGATGTTTCGTGCTTTGACTGCAGAGTCTCAATTTCTTCGCATCTTTCCCTTGCTAGTTTTTCTTTCGCTTCTCTGATTTTCGTTCTTATTAATATACTTATGGTTTTAGATTTGTCTGGGTCATTTTAGGCTTCTTTTCTTTCGTCCATTAGTTTCAGGATCTCATCTGTCATCCATGATTTTTTCTTCATTATTCTATCTGTCTGTAAGTGTTTATCCTTTACATTTTGCACTATTTCTGTAATTTGTTTGATCGTTTGTTCTTTGTTCGATTCGTCTCCAATTGCACAATTGTCACTTGCTCGTTTAACGTGACTTGGACTCCCATCTTCGTATCAAGGTCTTTCAGCATGTGTAGGTCGTATGATTGTGATTTTCTTGTTTTGAGTTTGACTCGAAATACTCCCACCAGTGGAAGGTGGTCTGTTTCCAAGTCTGCTCCAGGATAAGTCTTGACAGATGTAAAGCTGTTTCGGAATCTTTTATTTATTAAAGTCTAGTCTTTTGATTCCTAATAATTCTCCCGGGTTTGTCTTGAGGGGTTTTCCAGGTGTACAGCTTGCGAGGTGGTAATTGGAAGAATGTGTTGGTGACAACTAGTTCTAAGTCTTCTGCGATTTTTTCTAGGAGGTCTCCTCTCTCGTTTCTGACTCTAAGTCCATGTGCTCCAATGTACTGTGATTTATCTCCAGCTTCAATCTTGGCATTAAAATCGCCCATAATGATGAGAACTTCCTGTCGAGGAATTTTCTGTATAATACTGTTGATGTTCTGATAGAACTCAATTGCTTCTTCCTCCTCTTTGTCTACAGTGGGAGCATAGACTTGGATGATGTTTTTATTAATAGGGTTGGCTTCTACTTATAGTAACATCTCTCTCTCTCTCTCTCTCTCTCTCTCTCTCTCTCTCTCTCTCTCTCTCTCTCTCTCTCTCTCTCTCTCTGATATTGGTGTAAAGTTAGTAACGCATTTGGCAACCTTGGGTGATACGGTTATTCCGACTCCATATTCATGTGATTCATCACTTTTTCCCGAGTAATATACCTTGTGATCTTCTATTTGTATTTTTCCAGAATATGGCCATCTCATTTCTGGTATTCCCATGATTTCAATATGCTTTCTCTTCATCTCCTGTATTGCATTGTGGATTTTGCCTGCTTTGTATAAAGTTTTGACATTCCATGTGCAGATCTTGATATTCGTTCTACACTTCAATTTATTATCTTTTGGTAAACTCAAAATTGTCCTTCCCGGAGACCCGATCGGAGGACTTACTCCGGAATTTATTTTAGTATTGAGCGTTGCCATGATTGATTGATTAGGGCGTATCGCTTTTATCTTTAATGGAGTGTTTGCCCTACTTGTGCTTCTCCATCCGTATGCCGTTGATCAGATCTTTGGTTTATCCGCCTTCGAGGCCGATTTAACAACCTCAGGACAAAAGGGTGCCCTACCACTTGCCAACTCATCCGCCCGAAGCCATTGGTCAGTAAGTGGGGGATTGCTTATACCGGCAATGGCTCGGTGAATGACTCTCTATACTGAAGAGTGTGAGGTAGAAGGAAATATAGTGACCCGTCTGCCCTCGGAAACCTAATAGCCATTCGGGGTCGGAAGAAACAAGAGTTAGCCAAGAGAGGAAGATAGGAAAGATTAAAGACATATCACTCAAGACAAGTTGAAAAAGAGTAATTTGTGAAGGCCCTTATGATGCGCCAGGTGCGTTTCATAAGTGTATGAGTAATAATTCACCTTGTGTTCCCGCTCATACCTCGGGGTGTTTACAGTACAGACTGTATAGCTCGTCCAGCATGCCATAGCATGGAGGATAGGGTGCACGTCATTTTTACAATGGAGACACCCCAACTCCATGGCCTGTCACTTTTAATGTATAAACTTTGTAAATCATGATTTGGGATTTATAAAATGTATATACATTGTAAATCTATATTTAGGAGTGCTTCTTATAACATTTAACGTGTTCTATATACGAATATTTGTCAAAAATTTCTGTTAAACTTTTACTCTTTATATTGATTTTGAAATAAAAATCTTCATAACTCGTTAAATTCCCTGTATAATAGTGTCAAACCCCATATTGTAAAAATAAGGATTATGAGGAGAATAATAATGGAATTATAGACCAACGTTGATCTTAAAATTTGACGCTGTATATTGTAGTTTATTTTTTGTGTTTACCTAACGTTCTTTTTTAATTTAGGGTATGGACTGTTGCTCGGACAACGCGGTATCATTCCACTACGTCAGCCCGAACCAAATGTACGTGCTGGAGTACTTGATATACCACTTAAGGCCGTATGGAATATCATTCCACGTGGAGATGCCTCCAGAGCTGACTGAAAAACCATCAGTCGCCGACGAATCATCAAACGCGACGACGTAGTACTCACATACGAGTACCGGTACTAATTGTTTATATCTGCAGAATACAGGCTGTTGTTTATTCTTAAATCGAAAGGTTTTGATGGGTTAAAAGTATATACAAAGTCAAGTTTGGTAGTGAAGTATATACAACAATATACTAACTGATCAAAGAGCTTAAAGTATCGTGTTGCTTTACTGCGGACCATAACTTTTTTTTTATTTATTTTTGTCTGATAGTGGAGCTGTTTCTTTCGAACATTTGCTGGATTTAAGACTGAGGTTAAGAGTGAATGGGGCCATCATAAATTTGTTAATTTTCTTTTATCATACAAAAAACCAATACAATTTTCCGGATATATTATCCTTTTCTCGTTCATTTTCTTTAAACTTCCATCACAGTTAGCGAACAATCGATTCTTACATTAAGATTCGTTATTTAAAATTAAAATATTGATTTTTAGCTTAAACTTTTTAGCACGTAATAAATAGGAATTAAATTGTTTATGTTGAGCAGTATATAAATAATGGAAACTAAAATTCCCTTATATTTTAAGTATTATTACTGTGTAAGTACTTATTTTTTTCTGTCTGGCAGATTCTTGTCTCGATTTCAGAAGAACTGATACACCATGAAACGCGACAACATTGCAGTAATCTAAAACTAATAACTAGCAGGTAATTGTAACGCCTGGTGAGTTGTTCAATGGCCGAGCAAGATTTTTTAACAAGGGATAAAACATATACAATTCAGAATCTTACAAAATGTTTGTACACTTTCACAACGTTTTAGAAATACTTTTTAGAAGAGAAATAGATTTACTTTTATTCTTAACTTTGATTTGTAATTATTTCAAATTGTCTAGCTGGTCACATTCGTACTTGTACCAATAATATTTTTGATATTTGCGCATTAAACGAGAAGAAACCAATACAAATCATTGGGATATCTGGGTGACGCTACATCAAAACTATAATCATTTAAAAAGGATATTTACATGGTTTCACAAACCATTGTGATTGTTTTGGTAGTCTGAGTCCCTCTCAGCTTAACTGCTGGCTTAGGTTGGAGGTTGGCAGATTGTTGGGTTCTTAGGGTATTCTTGTACTGTTTTTCTACCACTATCCTTGTCAAGTGGATATGCGATTGGTGGGTGATGAAGGGAAGGAACTTGTGGTTTGGAGTGGATAGTTTTGGAATTCGACCTGGTTACCCCGGGGTGGAGAGTGGAAGAAAACCAGGAGCTGGCCTACACAAAGCGCTAAATCACTGGACTAGATACATCCCCTATTGGGATCATGAGGAATATCCACGTGCTACTCATTTAACACTAGACGCAACAGGCTGGATTATAAAACTGCCATCCTGATTTTCGATCAAACTATTGGAAATATAGCTTTCTTATCGCAGGACGGAACGGTGGATCATACAGAAGTATAAAAACACACAAAGACTGTAACATCAGATCACGCGACCACACTTCGCGCAACCACACACTACGAGTAGTAAACGCAGTCTCATGCGTGTTTATTAATAAAGAATCGAATAAAATAAAATAAATTGGGGCGAATTCGGATCGAAGCGAGTCAAATTGAATCGGATCCGAAAATAAATTAAATTAGAGACTATTGCTCCATGAGTAGATGATAAAAAAGCTATGCTTCCCCTCCTGGGTCACTCCCGGAGTGTCACATTCCGTTTTTTTTACAACATATTTATTTTTCTACAGCCGTCACATGCAAGCTTTCAGTATTACGAAAGAAACTATTATATTTGATGAACTTCATCGTATGCGAAATAATGGGGCAAATCTGGACAGAAAAACGTAAGTGTAATATCTAGGCCATACAAGAATAAAAGATCAAACATTGTACGTTAATTTTTGTTAAGTTTTATTTTTCTTCTATCTTTCTGAATGAATTGATTTATAGTATTACTCAGTTTTTTATAAATATACATATTTAAAAACAAATTTGAAATTCGGATCAGTCAATCGGTTCACTGAAACTGATCAGGTCGTAGCCGCCCATCTTTATTTCCAACACATATTTGGACCTACCGGGGCAACATGAAAAGTTCTCCAGTTCAATAGATGAAGACTAAGAGATGTTTAAGAACATTCGGATTAGTCAATGACTCACTGAACAAGTTCTCTATTTGGAATAGACGAAATATTTCGCCAGATTCCTAAATATTTACAGTCGCTTTATGTATGGATCATCTATAATTGAGGCACCGACAGAATATTTTCGCGCCGAATTTCATCCGAAATTTTTAACTCGCTTCCGACATCGGATAAAGATAAAATTATTTTAACTTTTTCCGACAAAACGGATGTTTTGTAACCTAAATTGTATTCTAATAGTTTAACATCTGTACATTTATTTTATTGAAACATGAATTTTAATCGAAGAAGCTATGTTCGTAAAGTTAATAAAAAGTTGTTATTATGTCTGCTTCTTTTAATTTCCAAAAAAGTATATATAACGTACAATTCGACAAAGAAAATATTGGGTTAGTTAAATATTTAAGGAAAAAAAGTCACAATGGGCTTTTAATAACCTATTGCACTCTTGCAGGAAATGAACTAAATGATGTTGACAAATATTTGCAATAATCTTAGAATGCGTAATTGCACATTTCATAAGCTACATAGTTTCTTCTACGTTATCCATTATAAACTGAGTAATTGAAAGCAGGAGAAGGGATTATTTACCATGCTGAAATAATTCCTTCTGCCGTTTTACTACGCAAAACTGGTAAAATAGCAATTACCAGCCAAACCACCAAACATCCAAACAATAAACAAAAAATTGACCGTTGACAGTTTATACGGATTTTCGTATCCGACAATCGCATCCATGTGACTAGCTTCCAAATAGCAACTACGAAACCATACGATTTTCGGATGTCGGAAATCGGATACATGGGACTCCGCCCTAAGCCGAGAATTTTTCAACTTTTCCTCGACGATTCACAAATGCGTTAGCAATAGAGATGGGTGCGCAAGAACTATAAACTGATTCAGTGAATCTATTGATTGATCCGAACCTTAAAAGTTGTTTTTAACTCTTGTTTTTGCTCTTCAAAATTTCATGCTGTGTTGGAAAATAAAACTTAAAATGAATATGAAGTATTTTTGCTTTTGCCTATTTATATACTTTACAGTCGGAAAGAGCACTGACGATACGTAGTATTTAACATATCTAACTGAACGTCTAGCGTAGCATATTTTAAAGTCCTATTTTATATTATATATAGCAAACTAAATAAATTTACTGCAGTTAGACCCGTTTGTATTCGAAATTTTTAGATAATTTGTGAATATTAATCAATTCATTGCTCGTTTCATCACATAAAGATGTAGTCCAACATTTGAGTACAGTACATCCCAACCTTTGAACTCTGCTCTTGTTTTGGATTGTTTGGTACCCTTTCCTTCACAAAATTAATACAAAATGACTTCTACAAGCTTGTTGTGCTGTGTTTGGAATGTTTTCCACCAAAATGTGAACCTAACATAACGAGTAGTGTGTAGCTGTCTCGGTGATGGTACTTATTTGAATTAAATTTGAGTTACTCAGCTCTCTGTGTTGTACATCTCTGAGTCGCCTTCACAATAATACTGTTACGTAGAGTCGAGTAAGTTTTTGGCGGAAAAGGTGCTGTACCGAAATGCTGCACTTTTAACTTAGAAACCACTATATTTTAATTAAAATAGACGAGTGTACATAGTAAATATAGTCGTCTTGTATTGTGGTTTTTTAAAGATATAAAAACTTAATAATTCCCTAGGGCGTACAGTTACAAGACAATTGAGACGAATTTATGTACATACCTCTGGTTCAAAAGTCTCTTCCGATATATTCGTCACTAACTTCACACTGGTCGGTAAATATGGTATCTATTATACCGACATCATTGAAGCGGTCTAGATTTATCTTAGTTCAGAATCGTTGCAAACAATAATCAATATAAGTTCATACGATATTTATTGACAAAAAGTGTGCTAATTTAAATTTATTATTAGTATACAATGTTTAAATAATTTACTGGACAGCATCGACTGGACGAGTGCATTGGAAATTCAGTCTCAGATGTCTTGCTAACGATAATACATCAACGATAGTACTAGTTAAGTTTGAATTGACATCGAAAATAGCAGAGATATACTCTGTTCAGTGAATTAAGTTTCAACTGTCTAGTTAATTAATGCGTTGATCAAACTTTCACTTCGATTGGAAGTGGCTATAAGTTACTATACAACCAAGCCCACGGGCGTATAGCCAATATTAATCGTACCATAAAGTAAAAAAATATTCATATACAGTTTATCAGCAAAATAAAATTGCATAAATTATAATAATAAAACAAAGTCTAATATATAATATTAGTATTTACAATTGGACAGTGTTTAATCGAAATTAATGAATATATACTTGGATTATTGATGGTTACTCTTCTTTTTCCAATTAAATAAGTTTTCAGTTCAGCTATTATCAAGATTTCTTAGGAATTTTTAAGTTGTAGGTATTATTCCCAAGCTGATTGAACGGCTATAAATGCGTTTATAATAGTTGACCATGATACTATAACAAAACAAGATAAATCAACGCGCATGTTCTTGTGACGTAAGCCCGAGACAAATTTAATAACGGCAAGTGAAATGCTCATAAGTGTTCATGTTAATTATGTTGCTGTGTTAATCGAGTTTGCTATCTTGTGTATTTCAAAACGTAGTGAATGATATTTTTATTTATTCATTGATGTAGTAAAGACTTTGTATATTATATTGTTATATAAATTTTGTGGTGAAAACATTCAGTTCATTTAATGAAATCCCCAAGCGCTAAAACATCGCCTGAAAATAGACGCAAAAGAAGAATGGAGAAAAGAAATGTATTAAAAAACATATAAGAATTTTGGTTTTAGACACACTTTAACAGCAGAGCAAAGGTCTTTCAAAAAAGTTACTTTGGATGTATGTAGTATCAAAGAATATAGACGCTTAGTAGTATGTAGTGAACTGGAACATATTTTTCGTAGTTATAATGGCGACACATTCAAAATAACAAAAAATTATTTAAAAAACTTAATAGAAG